TTGTGTTCGTGTGTATATGTTGGATCCTTCCTATCTATGCTTCTCTTCATCCACGATGGTTGATGTTGTTCTGGTGTGCTGGTCCTGTGGGGTCTTAGCACGTCCACTTATGGATGTCTACTACAACAAGCTTTGCCCGGCATCGTTGAGGGAAGGGCACCGACGACAGTGCGCCTTGGACTTATTATAATTGATCATGTATAGTTATAAAGTATTTATTGAATATAAGTACAATATATATTTCTTCGCGAATGCGCAAAGGTTGCGTATCCTTTTATTGATATAAGTACAATAATAGAATGGAAAAAAAAATCTCATGCATGGTTGCATATAGTGGTGGGTCTTTACCATGCGTAGTTGCATGTTGGGGTGAGCTTTATCCCATGCATAACTGTATGGTGATGTGGCATGCTTGCATGTTAAGTTAAATAAGATAGTGAGGATGAACTTCTTAGATGTTACCTCCCTTTTTATTTAGTATGCATATTAGATTTGACTAAAGTCAAACTTTGCAAAGTTTGACCAAGTTTAGAGAAAATAATATAAACAATTATCTAATAAATTTATATGATGTGAAAGTACGTTCAGTAATGAATCTAATGGTATTGATTTCTTATTATATATGTTACTTCCTCCTTCCATCTATATAGGGCCTAATATATTTTTCGAGGCTAACTTTGACCAAATGTTAGAGCAATAAAATATAACATGCAACTTACACAAAGCATTAGGCCCTATATAGATGGAAGGAGGGAGTAATATTTTTTGTCCCTAAACTTGGTCAAAGTTTGCGAAGGTTGATTTTGACCAAAACTAATACGCGAAGTAAATAAAAAATTAGAGGGAGTATATATAGGACATTAACAAGGTGGAAGAAATGTACCACACCGCATTATTGGTAGTGGAAGATCTAGAAAGTAGGACTAGGACATATATTTCTAAACAACTTAAGCACACATCACAATGTTTTTGATACTGAAGAAGATAGGAAGTACAAGCACATCGTTGAAGTTCACAATATAGCTGTCTCCTCCGGGACGCCATGGCAGAAGCCAGCAGGGAGGCCACAGGCGCAGCGCCTCAACCTCTCCACGTCGTGGTGTTCCCATGGCTAGCGTTCGGCCATTTCGTCCCCTTCCTCGAGCTCTCCGAGCAGCTCGCCAGGCGCGGGCATGCCGTCACCTTCGTCTCCACGCCGAGGAACGTCGCCAGGCTGAGGCTCGTCAGCCCCCGCATCCGCCTCCTCCCCCTGCTCCTGCCGAGCGTCGACGGCCTGCCGGACGGCGCCGAGTCCACGGCCGACGTCCCGCCAGAGAAGGTGGACCTCCTCAAGGTGGCGTTCGACACTTCGACGGCCTCGCCGCCCCTTTCGCCGGCTTTCTTGACGAGGCTTGCGCCGGCGGGGACGGTGCGACGGAGTTCGGCAGGAGGCCCGACTGGATCTTCGTCGACTTCGCACACTACTGGCTCCCGCCCATCGCTGAGCAGCACAAGGTACATGCATAGCTTTTCCATGGCGTGCGTGCATGGCTCCCATCCCATCAGGCCATCACCATGCTCCATGCTGGCTTGCAGGTGCCGTGCGCCTTGTTCCACATCTGCCCGGCGCCGTTCATGGCCTTCATCGGCCCCAAGGCGGCGAACGACGCGCACCCGCGGACGACGGCGGAGGACCTGATGGCGCAGCCGCGGTGGATCCCGTTCCCGACCACCATCGCCCACCGCCTCCACGAGGCCAGGGACATGCTGGTCCAGACGTTCCGCGCCAACGCGTCCGGCCCGTCCGACGCCTGCCGGCTCTGGCAGACGGAGCAGCGCTGCCCGCTCGTGATCCTGCGCGGCAGCTGCGAGGTCGACGGCCCGCTCGGGCCCTTCCTGGCCGACCTCTTCGGCAAGCCCGTCGCCCTCTGCGGCCTCCTCGCCCCATACGACGCCGCGCTCGCCGCCCTAGAAGGAGCCGACCATGTCGACGACGAGAGCGAGAGCGCGAGCCTCATGCGCTGGCTGGACGAGCAGCCGGCGAGGTCCGTCATCTACGTCGCGTTCGGGAGCGAGGCGCCGCTGACCGGCCACCACGTCCGCGAGCTGGCGCTAGGGCTGGAGCTCGCGGGCGCTGCGGGGGCCGAGCGCCGCGCTGCTCCCGGACGGGTTCGAGGAGCGCGTGGCCGTGTCCGGGCGCGGCGTGGTGCGCGTGGGGTGGGTGCCGCAGGTGCGCATCCTGGCGCACGGCGCGGTGGGCGCGTTCCTGACGCACGCCGGGCTGAGCTCGCTCGCGGAGAGCTTCCTGTTCGGGCACCCGCTGGTGATGCTGCCGCTGTTCCTGGACCAGGGCGTGACGGCGCGCGGCATGGCGGCGAGGGGCGTCGGGCTGGAGGTGCCCAGGGACGAGGGCGACGGGTCGTTCGGCAGGGACGACGTGGCCGCAACGGTGCGGCGGGTGATGGCGAGGGACGAGGAAGGGAAGGCGTTCGCGCGCAACGCCGGGGAGCTCCAGGCGGTTCTCTGGGACAGAGCCAAGCAGGACGAGTACGTCGACGAGCTCGTGCAGCACTTGCTGCGCCGGTGATGCTGAGCCTGAGCGAGGCTCGCTTCTCGTGGACAGCGAGTGTGTAAACACAAGCGCTCATATACATGCGCATGCATTCATCCCTATGAACGCACACACACACCCTACTCCTATGAGCACCTTCAAAAGACTGAGCCGGCATATCATCTTGAGATTTACGAAGTCACCGTAGGCGCCTCGTCGACGGGAACGTCTCCTCCTACTGAAAGCGCGTCGTCGGAGATCCTGAAATAAATCCAAAAATAATACGAGCACCAGGATTTGAATCCTGCCTGGTGGGTTGGGAATACTACTATCCACCTAACCAACTCAACCACAGGTGGCCGAAATCAAAATGCACGTTGTCTCATGCTCAGTGCTCAGTAATACTATTCGTACGTACTCCCTTTGTATAAAAAAATATATAAACGTTTAGATCAGTAAAATAGTATATAAAACAGTATAAATAGTAAAAAAAATATAAATGCTATTTGTACGTACTTCCTCTATACAAAAAATATATAAGCGTTTGTATCAGTAAAATAGTATTGTAAATGCTTTTATACTTCTTCACATACCAGTCTTACAAAAAAATCTACGCACTAGTTCAAATCTAGTGCATTCTGCTTCGGGGACTCCCTCTCCTCCTTTTCACCCTCACCAACGCCTTCTCGCGCATTGTCGAACGCACCTTCCAGACATACCGCACCTCCTCATCGAGGCCGCCATCGCGCTCCCTGGTGGATGGACCCCAACCGTGTCTTCCTCTTCCGCGGTGAGATCCACGTCCCGCCGCCCTCCCTCTTTCCCCCGACATGCCCTCCTTCCACACCTAATACTCCAACACCGTCTAGGCCACCATAAAAGCACTGCATCATTGGGACGTCGGATAGGGCCGTTGCCGACAACCTCCGCACAACATGCGTCACCGTCCCAACGCCCGTGGCCAAGGTGCTCGAGGAGGATCCCTACCGCATCGTGCGGCCGGTCGAAGGGTTCTATGACCGACAGGGGTTCCATACATCGCCACATCGTCGGGATGTGCTTGATTGCGCGTGAGGTCAAGGTGCAGTCAACGCAGACAAATAGAGAGGAGAGAGTAATTTTTGCATTTTTTTGGGACGGGTCCCACATGTAAGGAGGTTCCCGGTCAATAGTCAAATCAACCTCTAATGAGTCAAAGCCGAGCAGAGGGATGATTGCTGAACCAGGTAGTTAGTTTGGGGTTATGGTGGTGAGCCGAAGAGGACTAAATACGGTGTGAATTTTTTGAGGACGTGCACGAGCTTGCGCCATCTCCCCACTCGCACAAATTTGACGCCACGGTTCCCCAACATGCACTCTGAAAGCCTAACTGAGTGGGAACGGCTGATTCGGTTCTTCCTTGCGGGGCCTGTCTGAGATGTGCTTTAAGTTTCGTGCTATGTAGACCCAACAGTGCTTGTAGGCAACCGTACGGGCCAAAAATGCACCCCGAGACCTAGCGGGAAGGTATGCAGAATACCAAGCACGCCTAAATTGTTTCTCGCACAATGGTCTTCTTTCCTCGTAAATGATGCTTGGAAGAAGATGCAAACCCCAAAAAAATTGTGTGACCGCCTACGCAAAATGGCATGAGCATCACGACCTATGATCCAAGCTGCATATGCGGCTGGTTTGGCCGCACGCCGGGAAGGAGACAACAAAGGAATCTAGTATTTCCTATGCTAGATAAAAATGTATTTTCGAACACAAACATCCGAATAAAATGAAAAATGTATTCGACGAGAGAGAGAGAGAGAGAGAGAGAGAGAGAGAGCGAGAGGGAGGGAGGGAGGGAGGGAGAGAGAGAGCGAGGGAGGGAGGGAGAACGCGTCGACCTACCCAGTGGCGGCTGTACTGTCGACATGTATGCTGAACCTCATGTCTCAACAGTGTCAGAGCTTCAGGCCATGACAACCTCTTTCTTTACTGTATTGCCTCGATCATGCGAATGTATCTCTGTTTAGCCTGGTTCCTCCGCGTATCCGTCTTCTTTAGGAATATCAAGCCTCTTATTTTTCTTTGCTGAGTGTTTGTTTTGCTCAGCTCAGTGACAATCAGACAGAAGTGGTCTGCTCCTTGCCTAATTGTCTGAGACCACCTACTAAAAAGAAAAAGAAAAAGAAATGCCCGATGCTTGTTGGCTGATGGAATCGCCTCATTTGTTCTGTTTGAGATTGACGCACAATTGCTTAGCTGCGTAGTTCAGGATGGTACTGTATATTCCTTATTGCCGTATGACTGGTATGAGCACAGGTGCATGCATAATTTCCATGTCTTTTACATTGGGGAATATATAATATGTTGCCATGTTGAAGAAATTAGCTGCTTTGGTGGTTACTGCTGTCAGCAACGTTTGCCCTTGACTTTGTTTTTGGTGAATAATGTGCCTCTTCTGTTCATGTCAATGCAGCCCTGAATTGAATCAGCTACCATGGCGGCCTTGCCGTTAGCCACGGCGGAAGTCTGCGACGCCAACTCGCACCTCATCACCGGCGGCGAGCTGCGGGCGCTGCAGCCCATCTTCCAGATCTACGGGAGGCGGCAGGTCTTCGCGGGCCCCATCGTGACGCTCAAGGTGTTCGAGGACAACGTGCTGGTGCGCGAGTTCCTGGAGGAGAAGGGCCAGGGCAGGGTGCTGGTGGTGGACGGCGGCGGCAGCCTGCGGTGCGCCATCCTGGGCGGCAACCCCGTCCAGCAGGCGCAGAACAACGGGTGGGCGGGCATCGTGGTGAACGGGTGCATCCGGGACGTGGACGAGATCAACGGGTGCGACATCGGCGTGCGCGCCCTCGCCTCGCACCCCATGAAGGCCAACAAGAAGGGGATGGGCGAGAAGCACGTCCCGGTCACCATCGCGGGCACCAGGATCTGCGACGGCGAGTGGCTCTACGCCGACACCGACGGCATCCTCGTCTCCAGGACCGAGCTCATCGTGTAGGAGAGGCTGACGCCTCGTTGGCCGTGTTGTTCCACTCTGTGGTTGTATTTGCTTGTCTGTAACATGATGGATGAACTGGGCTCTGCATAAGAGAGGAGGGTGCTTGCTGTTGCTGCCTCTGCCCTCCCTTATTGAATGATGTTGTATCTGAACTTCAGATTCAGAAGCCTGTAATAATTGTCATGTTGTAATGCTGTTGCTGCCTCTGTGGTTTCTGTTCTCCATATTCTCTCGTCCTTACCAGCTGGCATGCGTGCCGAAACTGCAGATCGGCCATTTGGTGGTGCGCGAGGTTGCCGAAGCGGAGTACGCCGGCGCTCCCATCCTGCCTGAAGCGCCCGTTGTGTTCAAGGGCAGTTGGGAGCCTTGCCAAGACCAAGAGCATCAACAGGCACAACATCATTGTGTTCCTCGCTGTGTGATGCGTATGTCGTCCATGGCGCCGTCCATCACCAACATCCCCCTCCGGCCACCTAGATGAGCCAGTCTGTGCTGTCCGGCGACGTGTGCGAGTGATATATCTCTCGTACTGGTTGCAAAGGTCGTCTTGGGCCATTTGTCAGGGAGCGTACATCCTTTGTGTCAGAACGTACTGTCAGATTGGTCTTTCGAATACGCATAGACGACGCACGCCGAAAAACAACTTCCACCTATACTCTTACTAGCACTTTATCCTGATACGAATCGCGAAGGGGGGTGGGAGAAAGTATCAAAGAAGTACCAAAAAAGATCAGGTGAGGTGGGACGAAAATAAAACCCGAAACGCGGACTACCAACTGAGACATTAGGAGTAGAGATACGAATCGCCAAGGGGGGCACGCCGTCGATGGCCTGCGTGCAGATGCCGCTGCACTTCCCGTGATAGCAAGATATACTAGACATAAGCTAGTAGGCGGCTAAAAGTGTACAAACCTTGGTAAGGAGGGCTCAGCTCTCAACTGAATGGTCTTAGATCTGAACCTGAGATTCAGGAGCTATGAACTGAACTTGTAATAAAGGTAAGCAGTTGGATGCCTCCATTGCACCGAATGAAACTTACTCGGGCTGGCCAAAATGTACTGGTGTTTTTCAGTGGAGCAAAGCAACCAATATCAAGTTTTTTTGTAATATACGGTGAACATTTAAAAAATTGAAATGAACATTTTTTTTAATATACAGTGAACATTTTTAAAATTTTATTATATGGTCAGTATTTGTAATAATGATAAGCTTGTCTTGCTTAATCAAATGAAATGAAGAACGGGCATAATAATAAAGCCAATTGGGTGCCTGCATTCCGCTGAATGAAACTTACTTGGACCGATGAGAGTCCCTTCCTCCGTTGCATTCCGTTGTAAGAGCATCTCCAACAGCCGCGCTAAACTAGCGCCGCGCCGCAAATTAGGCCGTTTTAGCGCGCGTGCAACGCGGCGGGTCGCTCCAGCGGGCGCGCAAAAACGGCGCGCGCGCTATAACGGGTTGGGCGCGCGGTTGAAAACACTTACCCGCACGGCGTATTTCGGGCGCCAGCTACATGGAGGAGAGGAAAGTGAGCAACGAGGAGCGAGCAACGAGGAGCGAGCTAAGTTGTTGGAATGGGAGAAGCACTTATTCTTCTTGGACACATCTAAACTCAATGCGGCGCAAAAAGAGTATGTCAATCTTGCCCAACAAAAAGTCTTAATCCAAAAAAGAGCCCTGGTTCGTGCAATGGGTGGCGGTGGCCTCGGCGCCATGGGAGGCATGGGTGGCTTCGGAGCCATGGAAGATATGGGTGCACCTCCGGCCGTCATGGGAGGCATGGGTGCACCTCCGGCCGGCATGGGAGGCATGGGTGCACCTCCGGCCGCCATGGAAGGCATGGGTGCACCTTCGGCCGTCATGGGAGGCATGGGTGCACCTCCGGCCGGCATGGGAGGCATGGGTGCACCTCCGGCCGCCATGGGAGGCATGGGTGCACCTCCGGCCGCCATGAGAGGCATGGGTGGCTTTGGAGCACCCTCCGACGCTATGGCCGCCATGTGAGGCATGAGTTTTGCTTCTCTCATGGGAGGCATGGGTGCACCTCCGGCCGCCATCGGTGCAATGTCTTTCGATGTGCCTTCTCACACACATTCCCATGAAGATGCCGTTGAAGATCTTGCCAACACCGTCGGAGCTTCACATGATGCGGAGAGGGAGGAAGATTCATCTTCGGAGGCGGAAGAGTCGTCTTCGAAAGATGAGGACGAAGACGAAGACGAGGAAGATGAAGATTGATGTGTCTTTCATGTCTTGAACTTTAGTTTGCATTTGAACTTGGTTGGATGAACTTATGGGCATGATTTTGAACTTGTGGGCATGAACTTTTATTCATCAACTTGATTGTGTCCCCGATTATACATAACTCTTTGCCTATGTTGCCGGCACACCGGTGCCGTTTTGTGGACTCGGTTGCGCGATGCCCTTCGACCTTGGGCTTTTGTGGTCGTTGAGACTGGTCTGTACGGCGTGAGTGAGATAAGCTCCTTATTAGTGGTTTTCTTTTCCATTCTTTTCCCAGGCGTCAACGGTGATCCTCGTCGTGTTGCGCATTTGAGTCCTTGAACGACGTTTTTGCCAATCTCTTGGTCTCGAATTTTTGATATGGTTCGACGACGTTGGCAATACACCGGTGTCTCTATCTTCTCTTTGCCCCCACAAAAAATATATTCTCTTTGCCCTATATTATTATTATTATTATTACTAGCAAAAGGCCCGTGCGTTGCAACGAATGAACAACAAAAACTCACAAAAATTATAATGTCTGACATAAAATGCACTCGTATGAACCGAAATCAGCAGCGCTCGGAGATTATTTTGTCAACACAAACAGATGGGGTTACAATGGGTACGAATGATTGAAAATTTTAATCAAGAAAATAAAAGAAGAAGAAAAATATGGAACAAAAACCATCAATCCTGTGCATGTATCCAACTTCGTCGAGATGAAAAGGAAATGTAGAACCAAGCTCGTCAATCGTGTGCAATTGTGCATGTAGATACGGAGAAGCAAACAGATGCATGCAACGGCCATAATCAAGCATTTAATCCTTTTGTAGTTTCTCGTTAAAAAAATCCTTTTTCTAGCTAATTCCTCCTAAGTTAGTTAACTTCTTTTTTTAATCTCGTTTTTTGCATGGCGAGAATCAAGCCTTGAGTCTCCAGCCCGCGCTTGGGCACCAGCCGTCTCACGCACAGGCAACGCGTGTCGTTTGGCCGCTCTTCCCTCCGACCTTATCTTCTCAGCCCCCTCCTCTCATCCTCTCGTCTCTTCCCCACACCTTTCTTCTCCCCATCCCCGATTCCGTTCTTTTCTCAGCACCCGATCCATCGTGCACGCCGCCCGCTACCGGAGCTCCAACGCGCCTCTCCTCCTCCCTCGTTTCTCTCTCCTCTGCCTCTCAGTTCTTTCTCTTTTCCCTTGTCCATGAGAAGGAGCACGCAAGGAGCCTCGCCGCTGCTGCCACCACCACCACGGTTGTCTTCACGCCACCGCCGCCTCCGAGTTCGCCAGCCGCTGCTCAGATCTGCGGGATCCATGTCCCCAAGCCGCCGGTGTCCGTCCTCCGTCCCGGATCTGGCTTGTCCACACCCTTCGGCCTCCCCTGCGACCAGCGCCGGCACCCTCCCCACTGCCTCGTCTACATGCGTGAGGACAACGATGACAGCGCCACCATCGACCGTCTGGGCCGTCCCTTGGCCTTGCTCGCGTGGGCCACCGCGTGGGCAAGCCAGTCGTCGCCGGCGGGAGCGACAGTGAACGGGACTACTCTTTGCATTCACTCTATCCCGTCTGCTTCTCTGTTTTCCTCACCGGACTGACGTTGAATAATACCAAATTACAGGGTGTTATTTGCATAAGCGAAATGTTTTCTCCTATAATCCACTTAAAATAGGATGGCGGGTTTAATTACTGAAAACACAAGGGCTTTTTTGAAAAAATGTGTGACGTACGACCAGAAGCACTCCGTGCTTTATTAGTAGGGAAAGGCCCCTCCGTTTACAGGAAATCAACCCGCGCTCCCTGTTTAAGTGGCAACCAGAGAAAATGTTTCGGTTTTTCAAAAAGGACCCTCCATTTTGGTGTATTCAACCCGCAATCCTGGCTCTGAGAAAACATTGCAAAAAAGACTCGTGCATAACGAGTGACTGGGGGCGGCGGCTGCTCGATGCGGAACGACGCAGGCGTCTGGGGGCGGCGGCTGCTCGATGCGGATCGACGCCGGAGGCTGGAGCTTGCAGGGGCCGGATCCGTGTGCGGCAGAGGCTGGGGAGGCCGATTCGGAGGCGGGCGGCGAGGCAGAGGTCGCCGGTGATGAGAGGGAGGCCGGAGCGTGGTTTCCCTGGCAGATCTATGGCATCCGCGGCTCCTGGGCAGAAAGAAGAATGGAGATGAGGGAGAGAAGAAGGAAGAAAGGAGGGGAGGTGCGGTGTCTGTTTCCCAGATCCGGCTCGCCCAGGCTCGAGTGCCGCGGCCGCCACCACCACCACCCGACCCCGAGCTCCTTCTCCCGTGCGGTTCCTCCCCGGCCTCCCTGCCGACGCCCAACCTCCACCAGCCGCGCCTCCCACCACATCCCGCCGGCAGCCCAGAAACGTCGCGCCGCCTGCCGCCCCTACCTAGCAGCACGACCCCGACTACTTCCACCCCCCGTGTTGTTGCGCTCCTCCCGCGTATGGCCACCAGCGTTAGATCCAACCACCGCAGAGACCTGCATCGCCAACCACCGCCTACAGCGCTGGATCCGGTCGTCCCCGACCATCTACCACCTTCTTCTACCTTGAGCGGTAGGAGAGACCCCCCCTCTCTTTGTAGTTCGGCGCTGGAAGCCAGGCTCATGGACCACGCCGCCGTGACCGGATGGGCCGTTCTCCTCCTCCCTTCTTCCTCACATGCGAGCATGCGCAACTCACATGTCGCTCACTTCTCTGTTGAGGAGGTGAGCAGCTGCTCCACCGCCTTCCTCCGGCTATCACCTCCACGACACCCACCCACACGGTGGACCGCAGTGAATACCTCGGCCATCTCACGGTGAAAATCCCAGCTGGCGGGTGAAAATCCCAGCCGGCGCGGACTTGCAATTTGTTCCATGTGTGTGCAATACTCCAAGTGCAGTGCATCGGCCACACTGCTTAGGCATCACGGGAGTTGCAGTTCGGTGCCCAATCCCATAAGGAGCAGTGGCAAAAGTTTGATTTGTGCAATTTAAGGTTCAGTTTTCAGTTCAGCTCCCTGTTTCACGGGATATGTGTAGTTCATTACTGCGTGCTAGCAGATTCAGTGTTATTGTGTGTGTGCAGTGCAGTTCATCGGTGGGGCAGTCTGGCTGGCGGCCATGTGTTGTTCTTGCTCCTACCTCGGATCCAATTCTCCATGACATCCATGTCTGCGACTGTGATTTGGGCAGCACATGCAGCTGACAGCACGGTGTTGTTTCAGCTCGTTGGCATGCGACTCTGTACCGTGGGCGTGCAGCTCACCAGTGTCAGGCTTGCAGTTCCTTGGCGTTGGCAACCAATAGTTGTTGGCATGCCTCTCTGGGCTCCTACCATAGACCTGGATATGTGGATAGATTTCATTTATTCAATGGTTCGTTGATGCACGAGTAAACTAGCAAAGCGGCATCCTGCTTATGTAGCTTTCCATCCATTGACTAGCCGGCTATCCATGCAACTGGTGATGACTGTGCAGCAGCCAAACTTAAATAAAAATCATACATCCGGCCTCTAATCCCTTGCAATTGATTATATATTTTAACAAACACGAGATGACGAAACATCATTTAATTTTAAGAGAATCAATAAATTATAGAAACTGAAGTGGCATATATATGACAGTCTGATCTGTAGGCTTTTTATGTTTTTTTCCAAAAGCAAAGAAGGAAAAAGAATCTCATCTCCAAAGTGTTCAGTGCAGAGAAGATGAACCATGCAAAAACTCAAGGTGGATCATGGTGGCTTCACTGCTGGCGGAACGACAGAGGGTTTGGCTGCTACCAGGGTGATTCAAAGGGAGTATATAGGTAGAGTTTTTGCGGCCTCTTGCATGAACATGATTAATGGTAGCTTATATTCCATGACATGATTTTACAGCTGTAATGATATGTTTCATGCGAGAGGACATAAATTTGCATCATATTTTTCTGTCCTGTTAGTTCCAAATTACAATGTTGAGTGGTCCAGTGAGTAGTGCTTCTATAAGCAAGGGAATGATAGAATGATGCACGATTCTGCAGGTTAGACGAGCCGCTGACAAAGACAGGCCTCTATTCTAAATTTTTACTTGCAAAGATGGACCATCAGCTACATAATATGTTGGCTAAACTCTCACAGGTCGCTAACAATTTTTATTTATTGTCATCTTGGTAATTGGCATTGGTGGTATTGTCTTTTGGTTCAACAGAATGTTGTTCAAGTGAAAATGCAGAGGAACATGTTGAACAAAAGATGTGGTATAAAAGGGAAAGGATAGCCTAAACAGTACAATGATGCAAGTTCAGATTTCATATGCTGTCTTCCCTGCCTCATGAATATGCTAGCATGGTTGTCTTCTAGATTATGCACATGTCTTTGTTTTCCATATACTATCGACGCATTGTGTAGTATGTACTAATTCTAGGGAGACTGATCTCATACTGTTCACTCTTCAGAATTAGTATTTATAAGTTTTTGTGTGGTTTTAGTACCTCAGTTAAGAAATAAACATTAGCCTTCTCTAAAGAGGTTTGCTGCCTTGCTTTTTATAATTCTATTAATTTATATTAATCTCCTTGCATAGAACTTCTGTTGCATTACTCCCCGATTGCTATTAGTGGCCCTGTCACAAGAGATTGTTGTAAATCCTCAATGTGTGTTTGATGTAAAACAATGTCCAATCTACTACATGGTGTCTCAGTCTCAAGTTCATAATTTCTATATCATTTGAATTGTATACAACAAGATACAAAAGCAGTAGGTCTCCAGCTGGCACAAAAATGCAGACTTGATTTGTTTTAGTTCCTTAATACATCTACTACAACCTACAAGAGACCCTATCTAAGAAAACAAAATCAAGGACCAATGTACTTCTGACATTATTTCTCATTAATATCAAATTAGAATAACATTGATGGAACATATTCTTTTTCTCTCCTTGCTTGAGTTAATGGAGTACAGTATTGCATTTTGCTGAGATGTTCTGCTCAATGCAGGTTTGGAGTCGACCAAGGAAGTCACAGTTTAAGAGCTCGAGGAGGAGGGGCGTGTGGAGGTTCCCGCCGCCAGTGGCTGCACTGCTGGTCTTCGTCGCCTGCTCCTGTCAGATCCAGCATGACCTACCCTATCGGTTCTCCGTCTCTTCACTCTGCTTCATGTGCATATGTGCAGAGAAGATGACGACCCCGCCCCTGTTCTTCGCCAGCCACACTCTCCCTTATGCGGTAATAAATCTCAAGAAATGCCCTTTTCGTTTACATGAACATCAAACCTACTTTTTTGTTTGATGTTGGTGCATGTCCAGCCTGATATGTGTGTTTGGCTGCTGCTGAGCGATTGCTGGCTGTGTTGCTACTTGTGGCAATAGTTATTTTGTTTAAGTATGTGGGACGACAATGCTTCTGTCTTTTGGTGGAATCATTTTCCTTTTAATTTAATTACCTGAGAAAAAATTCTATATTTTCTTACTTCCCTTTCTTTGTTGTTTTCATGGCTGACTATTTGAAGTTATCTGTTCACTTAAGCAGTTCTTGCCTGCGGGCAAGTTTTTGTATGTTCATCTAATAATGGAAAAGATTCAAACCTTCAATTTTGTAGGAACGATTTTATTGCTCGAGTAAGATATGTATTTACCAAAGAACATGAGAAGGGCAAGTTTTTATACATTGGAACTTTCATTACCCCCAGTATTTTAGTCCTTTTCCTTGCATCTTGCTCCCAGGAATCCTTGAGTGTATAGGTTCTCTCCATTGAAACCGTTTAGGTAGAATATACTTATGGTGGTATAGTTGTTTTACCAGTATTATAATTCAGCTGTGCAAAATTTAATTGCGGCTGTAAGGATTCAGGTTTGTCTCATGGTAAACCTTATCAGTTAGACCTGGTAAAAGTTGAATACTGCATCCATTTATATTATATTCTGCTGAATAATATATCAAATTATTCGTCTCTTTTACGGCGGTTTGCTAACTTATTTTGCATAGCATTTCTAACAGCATCAAATGTGTTCTTCGATGAATCCTAAACAGATATAGACGTACATCTTTGATTAGGCCGCCTAATTAGTTTACTTTATCTAATAGATTGAAAGTTTTTTGGTTTCTATTTATGGTGAAACAAATGGGTTCCTCACAATTTAGTTGATGGTAAAGAGTTAGTGAAGCCG